GCCCATGTACTCACATGCCCAGGGCCATCCTACAGGACCTAACAGGGGCCACAGCCTTAAAGAAAACCAACTTTCCCTCCCCTAGAAACCATCAGCTCTGCACTGAGGGTCATGGGAAGGTCCCCTGAGGGGGTCTGTTCTAGAAGATCCACTGGTTGTTTCAATGCTTTAAAGACAAGTCCCTTTTAAGTCAGTTTTTATTAATGAAGTCTCATTGGGTGTGGTAGTTTGAATGAAAATCATCCCCAAAGGCTCAGAGGGAGAGGTAGTATCAGAAAAAGTTAGGACTTGTGGCCTTGCTGGAGTAGGTTTGGCCTTATTGGAGGAAGTGTACTCCTGGGGGTGGGCTTTGAGGCTTCAGAAGCTCAAGTCAGGCCCACTGGCTCTCTCTTTCAGCAGCCTGCTGACACAGAAATCCAGATGTACAACTCTTGGCTCCTTTTCCAGCACCATGTCTACCTGCATGCCACCATGCTTCCCACTATGAAAATAGTGGACTAAACCTCTGAACCTGTAACCAGCCCCAATTATAAGAGTTGGTGTGGTCATGGTATCTCTTCACAGAAATAGAAACCCTAAGACTATGGGTACATTAACCATACTTCAGGGCAAGCGCCATGCCCAGGAGTAGCTGGCCAACACATAACAAACTCAATGGTATTTTTTGAAGGCTCTGTTTGATTTTGATTTGTTATTGGCATTTTTTGTCTTATTAATCTTTTGTTTATTTTAATGTTTGTGTGTTCTGTGGGGCTATTTTTGTATGTTTCTTGTTTATGTTATTTTGTTTTGTATTCATTTTTGTCTTTGTTCTGTATGTGTTTCTTTTGTTTGTTTGTGGATTCTTTTTTTTTCTTTTATTGAAAACAGATTTTTTCATACAATATATTCTGTTATATTCTGTTCGTGGGTTGCCCTCCCCCAACTCCTCCAAGATTTCCCCTACCTTGCCTCCCATGGGAATACACACACCCTTTCTGTCTCTCATTAGAAAATAGGCATCTATGAAGATTTTTTCCCATTCTGTGGGTGGTTGTTTTGTCTTACTGACTGTGTCCTTTGCCTTGAAGAAGCTTCTCATTTTCAGGAGGTCCCATTTATTAATTGCAGACCTCAATGTCTGTCCCACATCTGACAGAGGGCTGGTTTCCAAAATATATAAGGAGCTCAAGAAGCTAGCCACCAAAACACCAAACAATGAAATTAAAAAGTGGGGTGCAGAACTAAATAGAGAATTCTCAACAGAGGAATCTGAAATGGCTGAAAGACACTTAAGAAAGTGCTCAAAATCCTTGACCAT